ATGAACACGCTGAGGTTACGATCTCTCTTCCAGTTTTTCTTGGCTGGAAGGAAGGCTACTCATGTAATGAATTTATACTGCACCAGTCTAAGGGTCACAATTTCACCTTATTTTTACCCATCCTGCAATCCTAGGGCATAGTGTAATTTACCCAGACTCTCAGGCATCAGGGAAACCCAGCAGAGATTATGCCCCCTGAAGCGCAGTACTCTCTGGATGTCTTCCTGGGACTGTGTGACTGTACCACCTTTTAGTCACAGCCTGTGCTTGATGACACAACTGAACCTTTTGCTTAGGATTTTTAAAAGAAACCAAAAGTACCGATTAATTGGTATTCTATCTGGGACTAATTCAAAGGTGCCTTGTAGTACCCTGGGATATGGTGTGCTCTGCTTTGGAGAGAATCAATCAGCCCAAGATTGATGATGAGGTGTTGAGGTCAGGCTTGCAAATACAGAACCATCTGCAAAGTCTCCAGGGTTGGTACCTGCAGCAGAGTAATTTACAGGAGCAGGTGTTTGCTTTTAATCTACACTTTTTTCTGCTGAAATGGTAACTTTATTGAGGAAATGCCTGCAGTTTGTTGTTAAATGAGTACTTTGCCTATTGCTGTTATTAGATATAAACTGCTGAAAGGTTTCTGAAAGCTGTAGTAAGCATGCTGATTAAAAAAAAAGGTAAGGATAGAAGCTGTGATGCTAACTAGATAAGTCAATCATACACATCTCCAGAAAATTGCTGCAAATAAGCATATTGTTTAAAAGTCCAGAAAACTGTTTATAAACTGAACAATTCTGTTCAGAAGGGGGACATTTCTTTATGCATATAATTGACTGAAATCATCATCATCAAGATTATTTCTGTCTACAGCCATAAATATTTTTGGAGAAAGGAGGTTTTCTGAGACCAAAATAAATGCAAGATTGCCAGCTGGAATTTCCCACCTGAGCTGAGTTTGTCAGTGTGGACACTCAAATAAGTCTTCTTTGCTTTGGATGCAAAGGATAACAGAAGGTTAGCAGAGGTTACATTTGGATTCACATTCAGGTTCCCGACTTCCTTCCATTGCAGACTCCAGCTTTGCCTTGCTGATCTCAATGTGACACTCAGATCATGTAAATTGTTACAGCACCAGCAACATCAGCTAGTAGGAAAAGGAACATGGCCTTAAAGTGCCTACAGACTCCAATGTCTCTACACAGCCAGCATACATCCTTCTCTCACAGTCCTACTTTCTCCATCTCATGCACATTCCTTTCTCTTTACCCCTCTAGAAATGTTCTTGAGACTTTCTCTTGGGTTTGCTCAATGTATTGAATCCACCCCGTAGTTTTTAACAGGCCAAATCTTACTTACAGAAAAGTGGGGTTTGGTTTGGAGACTGGGCGAAGGAGTGCCAAAAAGGCTTACAGAGCACTGAAAAGTGGATAAAACTAATTTGCATACTTGTACACATGGAGCTAAAACCAGTAACACCCTTTCTTTGCCAATCAGTAAGGCAAAGTAAGGCAAAAACACCATGGCTGAGTGAATCACTAAATAAATCAACAAATTCAGAAATGTTTATAACTCATTTTTTTCATACAGTTTTAGATATTAAGACCAAAATAAAGATCTTTGGTAAAACTGATGACTAATCACTTTTCTTTTGCATTTTTCTAATATCGGATACATTTCTTCATTTATTTTATCCCCATTTTTCTGAAAATTTGAGTTATTGTTTGTAACAACTTTTAGGAAATGAAGTAAGGACAGTAGCTCAGCAATTGTAAAAAATTCTCTTCCTTCTTTTTGTATAAATCTGAGAATTATTTTAACAACAAATCCATCCCTCAGGAAAGAAAAAAAAATACTCAAAACTGCATGGTTTAGTAATTTCTTAATTTTTTTTAAACAAAATTTATTTTTTACTTGATTTGGCATCACCCTTAATTTTCACTTAATCACCCTTAATTTTCTTTTAGTTTCCTTTTATTAACTCCTGGAAAGGTTCCCTCTGCTTCTGGCATGCTTTCCCGTCACTCTGATGAATACTGAGACAAAGAATCTTTCAGTTCCTGAAACAAATATGTCATCTGTTGCTAATTCTCCTTCTATTCCTTATTGTACACACAGCTCCTTTCTATGACCTCTTGCTGCGTCCACATTTGTGAAATCTTTTATTCCACCTTTTGCAATACTTCTCAGTTTTGGTAGTAACTTGTCAAAGAACGCTTTCTGTCTATCCTCGTCTAAATGACGAACAATAAATGCAAAGAATTTTTATGAATACCTTACACAAATTTGCTAAATTGCTTATTGTATTCAAAAATGGCTTTTCATTTTATTTTCTTTCCCTTTTAGCCATATTTTGATTTCTGTAGAAAGAAAGGCCTATGCTGCTCAAAGATAATAATCAAGTAAATAATACTCAAACGCACAGCAATTCCCAAATGTATATTGCCTTCCCCATAATCTCCTCCTCCTGACCTAAAGCTTTTGCAACAACACATTCATATTCTCCTATGAGAGCAGCAGAGAAGCTGAACTGGCATTTAGAAGTTAATTTTACACAGTTTGAACATCACTGTGTTCCTCTCATTTTGAAACAAAACTCATGGAGTTTTGAGAATAAGCAGTCTGAGTTCTCACTGCAAAATTAATAGGACATTTTATTTGGTACTAAGGTAGCTCGGCAACCAGCATGCAGTTTTCAGTATGTTGGTGTGTACTAAGAGTAATCTAAGTTTGATCAACTATATACAGCTGATAAAACTAATAGGTAAATCTGTCCTATGAAAATACAAACAAGGCTACAAAACTCTTAAGTAACTTAGTCTGCAGTTCTTCACACAACTTATGATTTTTGCACTAGGAAAGACATGTCCCAGCATTTTATTCACTGCTGACTGAAAGTGTGCAACATGTAAGGCTTAGCAGCACCAGGTCAACTACACAATATTTCAGGAAGAATTAAGTTTGTTATTCAAAAAATGAGTGCTCTTTATTTTTGCCACTCTCAGCAGCCTTGCTTGTTTTGCATATGGTTGCATGTTTAATTACTGATCCTTCTGTAAGTGTCTGCAATTAGCACAGTGATGATTAATAAAATAATGCCTTTAAAGCTCCATTTAGGCAGCAGAACTGCACAATCAGGTATAATTAATTCATCATTAATAAATCATGGCTGATTAACTAATCTGTTGATTACAAACACAGTACTGCACAGTCTCCCACCTGAGCTCTGGTAATTTTTCTATCCTGAACAAAACAGAGACTAAGTAGTAGTAAACTACATTTAAAACAAATGAACAAACAATCAAACAAAAAACAAAACAACAACAACAACAAAATTAAACATTAAGCAGCAAGTAAATCAATTTAGTCAGGAAATTTAGATAGCAAGTACAATCAAAACTTACTGAGCTTTGTGGACTATTGGGCCCCTTGGCTAGGAAAAGTGTACTGCCTGTTAAGTCTGGACAGGTGAATAACTATTGCTTTTGTTCATTTTCTTTTAATGATTTAAGTGTCCCAGATTATGGACCCGAATCACTCGTTGCATAAACCACTATGGTGTGACAAATGCAGCAGAACAAGGCTACAGTACTGCTATGCAGGAAGGTCCAAGTCACTAGCACAAAAGGCAGCAATCTGCCTTAAGAAAAGGCAAGGTCAAGGTAGCTGCAAAATACTCCATAGCAGCAGAATTGTGGACAATTGCCTCCACAGCAGTCTCTTGCATCTGATAATCTCCTGTTTATATTTTATATGTCAGGTCCCAGAAGTTCAAAAAGACTGAACACAGAAATAGAACAGGAATTTCAATTTGGAGATTCCTTTTGTCAGTCACCCAGCTTTGGAGCTTTGTGGTGCGGTTAGATCACATTTTCAGTGTGTTCTGTGTAGGCACAGGAGCTAAAATTTTTTATGTTAAATGAATCCTACAGGTCTCACCTTGTTACCTGCCACCAGCTGCTTCAACTTAAGTAAAACATCAGCTACTATGAGTTGTGATAACATTTGCAAAAGCTCGTAACAGAGGACTTAGGTACAACTGAGTTGCTTGTTACTTATAAAGGTTTATATCACATACAGCTGTTCCTATAGTATGATAATGCCTTTGAATTCAAAATATCTTATCCTGAAAAATCACAAAGAAAAAAAAAAAGTAAAGATTGGGACTGATCAGGAAGAAGAAATAGAGCTCTAGCTAAAAAACTGGAACAATGCAAGATTCCTAATGAACCTAGAGAAAAACAAGATGAGAACACTAAGGGAAAAAGTGACAAATTCAAAAGTGACAAGCACGCTGGACAAAGAAAACTACAGAAGACAAATTTAGGAGCAAAATTTCAGTCTCTGAAAAGTAAAATCTTTTACTGTAACCAGTAATGTTTTCTGTCATTTTAGGCTATCACTGTTAATGTCCTAAATCTTTCTGTTAAAACTTCAGTTATCAACCAAGCTACAGTACCACAAGTCACTACACCACCAGCCACCTTTAACAAACCTATTTATAATTAAAAAAAGAAAAAAAAAAAATCACAAAACTTTTTTTATATTACTGTTTTCTTCCAAGGTTTAATTCAAGTAAATTAATGAACACAGATTGTAAGCATCATTTCTAAGTCCGGCAAAACCCTTTTTTTTTTTTTTAAATCAACTATAGTCATATTTCAGAATGTATGAATGTAGAAAATAATTATTATTTTATGGGTCAAAGAACTTTAACAAATCTAGGAAGGAGAAATGGATTTTAACACAAGATTTGAATGTACAGAAAAGAAGTCAGTGGAGAGTGGATAAAGAAAATAGCTGTCCCCGAGCATTTTCCGAGATTAGTGTACACATCAAGTGCCAAGAAAAAAAAATGATGAAGATGGATAAAATCAAAGATCTTGAATATCAGAAGTGAACATTTTCAAGCAGGTTTTAAAATGGACATTAAGCAATCAAAGGTTTTTGAAGACCGTGGTGATCTACCACCTAGAAGAAGGAATTAGCATAATACAAATAAATTGAGGAGTGGGTGATTAAGATGCTAGTGTCAGTTTCTTCACAAAGACAGATTTCCTCTTAATACAATAGCAAATTGCCCCGCAATGTCAACTCTTCCATCATCACGTAGTGAAATCTTCAATTCTCCTCCCCGATGAGAACATTGAAAGGCTAAATGAAAACAAGAATCCACAAGTTATAAATCCAGTAACTATTACAAATAATTAAAACAAACAAAGCACCCAGAGTTCTTCCATCCAGTGGAAGAGGTTTTCAAAATGAGATAGATGCTGTTTCAGATGTCACAAAGTAAGACTAAATTCCTAAAGATATTGTTTTGTATAATGCTGAATATATTATTTAACCCAACTGGATAAAATTTTGAGTAGAAATAGCCTTCTACTGGTAAGTAATTACAAAGTTAAGCTTTTGCCCGAACTGTTCAATCATAATCAGATAAAATAATGTTCTCTTTACATGCCGAGTTTGTCATCTTCTTTCAGGATTCTAATTTTAGTTGTTTAACTAGTTGATCAGAAAATGGCCTGATGACATTTGGCAAAGGCTACAATCACTCAATTTATGTAAAAGGTGGTAAATGCACAATGAATCATTAATAACTTTCTTCTTACTCTTCGAATTTCTATTATAAACATTTTTTGAAGCTACAGGTTATATTTTTCCTCACTGTTTGAAGACAACAATTTGCAAACTTGACAGAGATTGTATTCTGATCCCAACAGAGTACAGGATCTCTAACAGATGATACATGTAGCGTACTGCAAAACAATTTCACAAGTGCAGCTGACAGGAAAACTGTTTTGATAAGAGGGTATCAGATTCTGAGACAAAACACCCCAAAACAGTGTAAACTGGAGCTATATAAAGATTTGTATTTGTACTTGATTATTTCTTTTTCTTACTCAGTATGACTGAAAGCAAACAGACCTGCACTGAACATGTCATTATTTGGAACTTTTATTTTCAATAGCAATGTCATCACAGCCTTTCATGCATCTCTGGTGGGCGTTTGATTTTTGGATAATCTAGTTGTGATCCCCTTCCACATCTGTATCTTCTAGGAAAATCTCATACTGCATAAGCTATTCCCAGAATAAACATGTCTTATTTCTGCAGATCAAAATGTACAACAGTTGAATTCACAGTGAATGCCTTGAATTCCTCTGAGATTAGTGCGAATTAGAGGAAAGTTTAAGCCCATCTATAAAGATTCTGAACTTCAGTGTGCAGATAAGCAACTCTGCCTTCACAATGAGGCAGAAGTATTTGAATTAATATTAACCTGATGTGTCAAGGAAGTTTCCCATTAACGTAGGTACATTTAAATGACTGCTGGTTACAGAATTTGAGTACTTCGATATTGCCTTCATGATGTCATTATAATATCACCAGGTCAGAAACAACCGTCATTCTTATAATAATACCTATTTTTAAAATTTATTATTTAGGCTGTATGTGAGAATTGATGAAAAAGACTTTTTTTTTTAAGGCAACTACTTAAATCAAGTGCAAGATCTCCAAGACTTTTTAATTCTACAAAACAAGATGGAAAAATCCAGATAGTGATGGAAACACGTCCCTTCTTGCAGAAATGTAGCACGTAATGTATAAGTCTGAGGTAGCCCTAGTGAATGGTAGCATCTTTTTTTATAGATAGCACCTATTAAAAAAAAGTAAATTCTATCAGTTTATAAGCTAAGATCAACTGGAAAACATGAAGGCTGTAGTTACAATGTTGCAGAACTCTCTTGATCAGACATCAAATTTGCTGAGCATCCAAATACGGGTGGATTTATTCCACTATATGAAGCAAATCCTACATTAAAAAAAAAAGTTACAGTGCTGAAAATTTAAATGACAAAACCTTGTGTTGAAGGCAATCCTGGAAAAAAATGTGAATGGATATCTTTCAGGTTTTTTAATTAGGAAAAAAACAACTTAAAAGCTATAAATTAGTTTAGCATTGAGAAGGAATCAAAAAGCAGTTAGGCAAAATATCTCTAGAGATGTATTCTCTAAGGAAAGCCATACAAAAATATTCCTCTAGCTTTCCCTTAAATTAAAATGTATCATGGATAAAACCCCTTCTCTTTAAAATAATTCAGAAATACAGTAACTCCTTTGGAAATCTTGTATTTCTAATGCATATTTGAAAAGTTATCTTAGAATAAACTGATCAGATGTCAAATGAACTTGCTCTCTTTAAATCCATAATGCACGACTTCCATAAAAAGAACATTTGATAACGCATATGCATAAAATATGACAAATCCCATGTGGGAAGTTGGGCTTTTATATCTTACTTAAATACATTAGGGATTATAGCACAAATGTCCTTTGCTGCTTGAGTTAATTTTCTGAAATAAGAAACATAATTCAGTATACACAAAATACCTGAAAATGTAAAAGTAGTAAAACGTATCTTCTAAAGAAGGACAGAATTTCTTTGATCACTTAGTGTAATATAGTGACTTCACTGCCCACTAACCAAACAGAAATGCTTCAAATACCACATGAACATCTGAAAATATCAAATCTTCTGAGAAAGTCATTCACCTGTTCAGAAAGTATGAGTTTTCTTCCAGCTTTACAGAAATTGTCACAGATGTGTGATTTAAATGCTAATATGAAATCTACAGAACAGAATGTTATGTCCTTCCGTAAGTCCATAATGGACAGACACTGTGGGTTATCATTCTGAACTATGAAAGGCCAATACATCCTTCATAGATCTTGTCATTCTCAGCAAATGTCTATTCTGAGATTAACTGGGCCAAATATAGGAAGGTCTAAACATTTAAAATGCCTATAGGCCTAACCATTTAAAAATAAGATTGCAAATAAAATATCACAAGAAAATAAAATATCACAAGCAAATAAAATTTGTTGGGCCCCACTCAAAAATATTTAAGGCCAATTTATCCTGAAACAGTCATACTTCACCTTCTTGATTCTTAATTGACCATTCTTTCTTATATATTCCCTCTTGCTACAATGCAAATGAACAACATCCTGAGCAAAAGTGATCTTTAATTCTAAATATGTAGGGCATTAGAAATAAACAGCAAAAAAGAAACATTGCAGTATAAAACAGAATCTGAATGTTTAAATAGATGATCTATTCCTATTTAGCTATAAAAATAACATCTATTTTAAAGTGAAAAGTTTTCCTAAAGAAGCCACTGAAGAGATTAATATTGAGTCATTCTTGACAAATTCTTAAGTCAGACAGAAAATCCACTTTTCAGTCTCACATTTATACATTTATGAAGAGAAGGAAAAATACTGCCATCTAACACTAGTATCCAAACTGCACTGAACAGCATACATCATGAATGAAAATATTGACAGGATACCTTTCCTCTGATGCTCAAAATGCAAAGCACAAGGAACAACAGCAACCTAAATTCAGTCAAAATGGACAAATAAATCAATATCATCGGATGTTCACCAGCTTCAGTTATACTGAAATGGTGTGATGGGTAAAATCCAAAAGATGAGATCAAAAACTAATTGCAGAGTTAAGATCCTGAAGCCAACATTTCACTTTTGCTACATGCACTGTCAGTCATTTTGGCACAAGGGGAAGAAAGTAACTTCATACAGATTCATTTGCACACAAAGTATTATTATTCTACTAAAATTAAGAAAACGGATAAGGTGAATAGGCAGTATCCCAGTCTGTACTGTATAGATACTAGTTCAATGAAGGGTATGTGATACTAATAGTTTGGGCTGTAATAATAATATAAACGATTTCTTTTTTTCTAGTGGGTAGTTTGCACATAAGCAGGCAGCTTTGCAACAAAACAGTTCTTACCAAGCATTTCTTTTTTCCCCAGCTGCTCTGACCAGTAGCTGCCTAAAACAGCATGGATAGACCCTTGGAAGAAATTAGAAGAAAAAGTACAAAATTAGAATCACTATTTCATAGAGCAATCACGTTCAAAATGTAAATGCTATTAAACAAATGAAATGCTACATGAGTGTGTTTAGAGTAAGAACCCCTAAGAGATTGCACAGCAGCCAGAGCTATATTACTTTCTCATTAATGACTTAGTTGTAGATTTGGGACTTCCTGATAAGCCAAAGTTTGTAAAAATAACAAATAATACAGGTTAAAATACTTCTGCCAAACTACTTTTTTAAAAAAATTCCAAAAAACAAAATGTCAAAAATTAAATAAAAATCAAAAATACACTCATGAAGATATATTATTCATTGAAATATGAACACTTATCCACAAAAAAAAAAAAAAAAACCACACACACACACTTAACAGGCCCTGGAGTGCTTAAGAGGCTGCCTGAAAGGAAAAAAACTCTCTAACAGTTGTTACATCAGAAATTCAGTTTTCTTTCAGTCTCTACATAAAGCAGAATCCTCTTGAAAATCAGTAAGCATCAGTATTTCACACAGTAAAAGTACGTTTGCATAGTTTCATCAGTTTTCAATTTTTTTAGTAAAATATTTAATAAGAGGTTTTGACTCAGCTGACTAATGATTACCCTATGATTAACTGGTAACACAGCAAATAACATTACCTTCATCTTTCTGCATCAATCTGTCACACTCACTGAGAAGTACAGCGTAGGAAGCAGAAAACTAGCTTTCTTGCCTCTGAACATTTAACTAGCTCAAATCACATCATTCATAGGACTGAGAATATCCACAGTAATATGTCAGGAAATTAGGCAGTATCTCATCACCAAAAAATATGGGACACTGACAGAAATTGGTATTTCTTCTGCAATATTCACTCATTATCTAAACAGTCTCTGATTTTTCTCTATTTAGAATATTTACTTGGAAAAGATCTGAAAAAGCAGGAATATCTGGCCTGATGACAGCAGGAGGTCATTCTTTCTGAATGAGTTTGGCATCATTCATGAAAGTTTTCACTTTCACATTCTTGCTCTCCATGTAAAATCATCATTTATAGGAGGAAACAATCTAAAGTACAAAACCCGATTTTCAAAGTTTAACGAGAGTTTTCTAACTGAATTGAGATAAGAACGAGAGTCTTTTACCATGCAAACACACACCTGTAACGGGGTCTTCCAGAACTCCATACCAAGGTGGAAAATATCTGGAGTAGAAATCATAGCCTTTAGGTTTTACACTGGCATCTCCTTTAAGTGTCACTATGACTCCTTTCAATTTTCCCGTCTTGTCAACTGACAGAAGATCTTGTGCTTTTACTTGCAGTTCCTCCAAGTCAGATCTTGAATTCAAAAACAGTATTTTAATAGTCCATATTCTTCATTTTACATTACTTAAAAGTACCAGATGCAAACTACAAACTAGTCCTTTACCATCTCAAAACAGGTATATAAAGGTTAGAGGAGAGTAAGATTCCGATTGTTGTCCTGTCAATGTCATATGACAGGAGACTGCACTGAATATAACATACATGTAGTGAGCAAAGAAAAGAATTCAGACCATATATTTTCTATATATATATTTCTGAAAATTGACTATCCCAGAATATAAGCTATAAAAATGTACATTTGTTTCTTTTCTTTTTTTAAAAAAACTCTGGAACAAAACCCCTACATTCTGCACTATAAAAGGCAAGGAGCAAGTACTCCACTTTTTTTTTTTTGAACCACCACTGAAATACTTATAGGATCGTAAAGCACTGTATAACAGTCTCAGTTCTGTGAAGCTGCAGAAACCTCCCTACAAAATGAAGTCTGAAAAAGGCAAAAACACTAAGCACTCAACTGGAAATATTTTTCTCTCCCACTAGTTCAATCTTTAAGCTATCAGTTCAGTCAAGCTTCCAGCAAAATTAATAGCATTGTGGCCTGATTAAGGAATTTAGATTTGAACAAAATATATTCAAAACATATTTCCCTCACCAACTAAATGCAGCTCTCAATAAGATTAAGAAGTGCTTTGGAATCATCAGCTGTTTACAATGCTGTAAAGTATGTGCAAACAGACTATCGCCAAATGGGAGCATGAACACAGGCTGTCCTGCCAGTGTGCCCTATCCCTGTGGGGGGATCTCTGTAGCTATGAAACTATTATTTCTTTTTTTCAAGAGGAAGGGTTCCTAATTTCCTCCTAGGTTACTAGATCGTTTCTGACTCAGAAGGATGGAGAAAAATACACTCTTGTTAAAACTGTTTCCTACACCTCCTTTTTTGGAGGTCAGGTTCAGATTTACCTTGCTTGGCTTGTGAGTCTCTATAAGCTCACCTGGGAAGATTGTACATCTATTTAACAGGAGAGTTTAAAGAATTTTTAATCTCAAGAATCTTGTGTGTCAGGAATAGCAGTTAAACAAAAAGACACAATTTTACATGTTTGATTCAACAAAAAAGAAAAAAAAAGACAAAGACCAAAAATAAATAAAGTATGACACCTTTTGTAAGCATCACTGAGACGGACCAGGAGGTTCTTTGTATCAGGAGAATAACGAACATCTTGAACAGTCATGTCACCTATGGCTACCTGGTGAAAAGGTCAAAGGAAACAAATAAAAACAAGGATAGTTATATAAGGCAATATAGTTATTATAAATAACTATACATGAAGACACTATAATTATTATAAAAGTACTTTGAACATCAATGCAGATTCTGGTATTACCTTTATTAATTCTTCTACTTCCTGAAATACCTAGAAAGGAGAAAAAAAGTCAAAAAATAAGCCCACAGACAAATATATGAGGAGGGTACATATACATATGCACTTTTCTTGAGCAAAATTTTCACTGACCTGTGGATAGGCTAAGTAAAGCGGTAAGTCCAGGACAATACGATCTTCTACTTGTCTAGCTTTTAAATCACCACTCAGAGTCACAAAAGTGAGAACCGAATTTGGGTTTTCTAGAGAGATAATATTGCAATATTGATTGTATATTTAACCTAAGAATTGAAGTGAAATTATTATAGCTCCTAGAGTTGCCCAGTATATTCCAAAAGTTACTAACTCAACTAAAATATAACTATAGCGAAATTGCACTCTGAGACAAAATTCCCAGCTAACTTGGTAAACAAGCCGTTGAAGCTAATGAACACAGCAATTACAAGTGATTGCTTCCTGTATATTCCTGGAATGTATAGGAGTTTTCAACAGAAGGGTCAATATTCCCTGTTTATCAAATTCTACTGCATCCCTCTCAAATGAAAATTGCATATGTAGAACTGCTTTTAACAAGACTGGTCGTAGAGCATGGGAACTGGAGTGTAGAATTACAAAGCAGTTACAAAGACTCTAAGGTCTACACAGGTGTTCTCCAAACATACTAAAGATTTAGCTGTGCTTGCTTTAGGGAGATAATAAAGGGAGATTTTCTTAGTTGGAAAGAAAATTTATAGAAGTTACAACAACATATAGCTTGTAAAAAAATACGTTACTTTGTATATGAAACAACACAGCAGCTGCTGCAAGCGTAGCATGACCGCAAAGAGGAACTTCAGTGGCTGGGCTGAACCACCTCAGCCCAAAGCAGGAACCTTAAAAAGAAATTTTATTATTTGAAAGAGCCTTTTTCATCAAGTTATTTCAAATCTTTGTACAAAGTGATGGCACTTCAGTCAATCAAAATGCATATTATAATTAGTCTTGGTCATAAACACGTGCTTTTTAGGCATCTATTCTGTACTGCTTTTTGGAATAACCACTGATTTTGAGTCAGTGTTTTACTGATATAGGAAAGTTAGTTCGTAACAAGAGTAAAGGAGCTGCCTGCTAGCAAAACAATGCTTTTCTTCAATCACTACAGTAAAACCATTTTCTCTCCCCATGAATAAAACAAGATACACCAGTGAAGACAGCTTTACTAGCATAATGGAATCCATATGAGAGCTATTGCAGTTAAAAATCATTGCGCTTGAAACGCCAGCCAACACTAGTAGAGGCCTCTCACTTATATCTACTCTTAATTTCACTAAAAGTCATAGCTTTACTCATTGTTAAAAAAATGGAGATGGGGACACTATCTTTGGTTTCTTGTAAACTTCGCACAGTTCTTGCACTATGGCAGGGCTCATGAAAACATATTTTAAAATAATTACCATACAAATATGATCGAAAGGTGCAAAAGGAAGAGATTTCATATAACCGAGTTTTGTTATTGCCATTGTGAAAACTTAGTGCTTTAAAGTCAGAGACCCCTACATAAAATATGATCACCACAAAATCTATTTGAAAACCACATAGAAGCAATTTGAAATGGAGCAGACATGAAAGTCAGCTGTGAGCCAGCCCTGCTGTGGTGTTAATGCACTCACTCATGTAGTAATCATGGCTAAAAGTAGGTGGAAAAGGAGTCAGCCACAACAAACTGGAGATGAACTGTGACTCAGGACATCTAAATGGGTGATTGATCTAACTGCCTAAGAAAACAGCTCTTCCTCTCATAAATTAGCACCTCTAAAATACTGCAGATTTTCATTAGTTTTAATTTTCATTACTTTTTTGTAGGAGATTTTCCTGGGTCTGCAGAAGAACTCACTTTTGGTAAAGTCATCTGTGGAGTGCAGTTTTCTGATGAAGGCAGTTTCTGAGAGGTTCACTTCTGTTGCAATTTTTTGGTGTAAATCTTCTTTCAGGTCCTAAGCATTGAAAAAACAAATCCAACAAAAATCAGGCCATAAGTAGAGCCAAACTTCCTATCAAATGCATGCAATCACTGCATCTTCCATTACAATAAATCATACTTTTTTTTTTTGTTAGCTCAAAGTAATATCTGAGAATAAAACCAAATGAAATGGGATAACCATTTTCATTATTGTGGTACACCAGCATTATTTGCTGATACAACCCAGTGAATACTGATCCAAGGACACTTGCATGGTTCCATAAAATTCTACTTAACCCTTATTCCAGTGCTTTCCAATTATGCTGATGAGTGGCCAAATTAGAGCTCCTTAAAATATTTAGTCGCAAATGAAACAAAGTACTAAAATAAGCTGGTCAACTGCAACATCTGAGAGATTAAGACTTGTCTTCATAATTTTATTTATTAGCCTCACTAATTTCTATCGGCTTTAGCTCAAATTTATCTCAATTTATCTCAAATAACAGTTATGAAACAATTTTTCACTGGTATAAAAAAAAATTGCATACAACAGATTCCATACCATGAAGCGACCTCTTTTATAGTGATAATCTTGTTTTGTTTAGGGAAATAGTCCTGACTGTCAACCAGTCAAAAAACATGAATCCAAAACAAAGGCCAGCCAAATATTAGCAAAAATACCAGAGTTGCACTGAAATACTGCCATCCTGTGGCACTTCTGAAGCACAGGAAAGCATTTCTCTCTTGCACTGATCTCAGTTATTTTTGTAAAGCATCTGCTGAGACTTTGAGGGAACTGAGGAGAAACTTCACTGTCAACTGCATCATACTTTCTTAGAGCTTAGAATAATTACTTACAATCTTGGCTTTTATAGGAAACTGAAGCCTCTAAACTTCAGCACTGTGGAGAAATCTTTAAAATGCAAAACCTAAACTCCATAGGCAACATGCATACCCTCATGGTAAGTATATATTTATTTAATAAAGTTAATTTAACAAACAAAATTTAATTAAAAGGTCATAATTTTAGAGGAACTTCATTTTGCGTGGTGCACTTAGGTTTTAGAGGGCAAAGAAACACCTTTAAAATAATACATTCTCTATTTTAATTACTAACAAGCTGGCAAGTATGCCATATTGTATGAGAACATTTAGATGGGATTAATATTCTTATCCTAAACTACTACCGACTGCTGTACTTATACTTTCGTCCCTAAAATTTTCACCAAGTTATACCGCACAAATAATAAAAGGTTAATAAATTCTCTAATCCAGTTTAACAAATAGTCTTTAGCTAAAGTTGTCAACAGGATAGCAGCTAGAATAAAAATGGTTAATAATCCTGTCTACCAAGAATTGCACTCGAACTATCAACTTTCGAGCGATAAAGACTTGTCCCTGGGTAGACTTTAGCCTGTTATAAACAAGCATGAAAGGTGAAAGATTCTGATATAGGTCTATAGTCCCTCTTTTTTTCCTACCACAATTAAAAAAAAAAAAAAAGTGACCATAAACCTTCAAAAATATATAAATATCTATATATAACAGGTACTGTCTACAGTGTGATGGCACTTCCTTTTAGGCAATTCATTCTGAATCCTCAACATTTCTTGTTAGCTTAACTCCTCTAAGATAAAATTAGCCTATTGTAAAAACCACACAGAACACGTGCCTCGTATGGACTGATTCTGACTGAAAAATGTACTCCAGTGCTGCTAACGTACCCTGGAGCAACAGCAAACTACACCTGTAAGGCAAACTCCTCAGGGAAAAAACAAAGTGCAAGTACACAAAGGCAAATGCCCTTTCAGCCACCCTTACAAAATAATTTTTCAAACTTACATTTTCAAGCAGACAAACTGCCGCAGGATTTCCAGAAAATGAATGGCCTGTAAACGCATCAACTGTAAAAATTGGGATTTGCATTTTTTTCCTCGCCTATTAAGCGCTGTTTTCCACACTGCGCTTTCCACGTTCTTTCCACAGGAGAGCACAGCTCTGCTAGTTAATGTTTCTCTAGAAGCGGGAGGAGCCGGCGGCTCCCATCTCGTCGCCTCCTGCCCCACGCCCCCGGCGCTCGACGCCCAGCCGCTTTTATGTAACTTAACAGCAGGGGAGCACCTGCGAGGCCTGCCGGCCTAGCCCGCCCGCACTTCCCCGCCGAGGTGAAACTGCGAGGACCCAAAGGG